TTAGATTTAAAAGGTTAATTTACCTTTACAAAAAAACTGCCTATGAAATTAAGGGGTGCCAGTAAATAAGTAGTGGGTCATTTTCACCCCTGCAGAGGCCTTCCCTAAAAACTTTCATAGCTGGTGTTCTCCCACCCTACCCTGTTGCTAGGACTTTGCTATGACACTTCAGCAGATTCTGCAGCCATCGCAAGAGCACGGTATTTTTTGGATTCAAACATCATGCATGTGGGGTATGCTATCTACCCTGCCATTGCAGCACTGAGTTCAAAGCTATTATGACAGATGAAAAAGAGCACATGCATTGGGTTTTTAATACAAGTGAGAACATGCTCTTGTCATGGTGGAGGTGAGCATTAGTGACTAATGAGCAGGCTGAAGCATCATAGCAATGTCCTAGCAACACGTCAGGACATTGCCATTATTCATAGCAGCACAGTTTGTTTTTACCTGTCAGCATCATTTCGCTGTACATGCAGCTTTTTTTGTAAAGATGAACAAACCCCATGAGTTTATTGTGTTGGGCTACAGTGTACTTTATATGTTACATATTGTATCATTGATCTAGATAATAAAAATTGAATAAAGAAGAACTTCAAACAACCAAACTAACTGCTAAATAAACAGTTTAAATCAATTTGTGTGAACTGCCTTACCTGTCAAAAAGTTTGTAATTTTGTTAAATTTTCTAGACATTTGTCTTGCTAAACAGAATATCTAGTTCTCTAGTTTCACTTTTCTCTACTGCAGTTAAAGTAGTACAGCTTGATCAAGGACCCTGTTCATGACTGGATTGTGACAAAACAGCAGCAAAGAGATACAACGCAACAGTGATTTAGGACTTTGCAGGCTTTTCACGTAAAATATAAGTTGTATTTGTCAAGTGATGCAAAAAAAAATTTAAATTATATAAAATTATTAAAACATCTAGTGATCACAGTAAAACTTGGTAACAACTTATCATATTCATGTTTTGAGATATTCTCTTTTTCAAGAGGAATGAGAAGATATAGAAATAATCCAATCGGCAACATGACATACAACTGATAAAGACACATCATACTGAAGGGGTGCATCACCATCACTCCCCGGTGGGACTCGGAATTTCTCACTCAGCAAGGTCCACATGTGCCAATCTTATTACAAGAATGTTGGAATCAGGGGAGGACTGACCATTTGGAAACTCGGGCACTGCCCGAGGGCCTGGGGTCAGTAGGGGGCCCCATGAGATGCCCCTGGCACCTTTTTGATATTCTTTGTGGAATTTGGACAAGGACACAGGGGCCCCATGATCCCCTATTGCCCGGGGGCCCCATGAGTTGTCTGTCTGCCCCTGGTTGGAATAGAGATTGCCCTACTCAGAAAACTGTATGGGGGGCCCAATGTAAAGTGAAATATATAGCAGGCTAAGACAGATATATGCCTCATTTATAGAATCTTGGACTAGGGTAACCCTCTCCAATAGGAACTAAGAGCCCAAATATCATGTTATAGAGAATTAGACTTGAATAAAGTGCTGCTGACAAATGAGAGCATGTGGGCTAACCTCTTCTAGATGAAGTGTTGTGCTGTGTTCACCTGGGGGAGGTTAGCCTATACATCCTCCCAATTCTGTGCTGCTATGCAGTCAGATTAAGGAACCATTTAAATTTATATTTAAAGGGATTCTGTAAAATAATAAAAATAAACTGATGCAACTATAATCCGAAAGCACTCAGCAAACAAACCTCCCACTCTCCACTCACTATCCTATTGGCTCATCACTGAGTTTTCATACTGGGCAATAGGGAAATGCAGGAGTCAGGAAGCAATGGGTAAGCTCTAGCACATAAAGGCATCAGGAAGTGCATATGTTGGAAACAAAGACATAAGTTGGAAAAAAGTAACTAGTTCCTGCCTGGCCAATAGCAAAATTACGTCTCAGCAGGACTCCTTTGATCCGGATCAGCGTCATATGCCATATGATCGTACCCGCGGAAATTTGCTGTGGTGAGATCTGTCACCGGCTGTATCCCTCAGACACAGCTCATGACAGATCTGTGTACTGTTCCATTGCCAGTACCATGTGACTGCTGTGACCATTTTCAAAAAAATTATGACAAAAAATTACAACTTCAAAAAACTCGCCATGCCTCTTACTAAATACCTTGGACTGTCTACTTTTCAAAAAGGGGTAATTTGGGGGATATCTGTACTGTTTTGACATTTTTGGGCCTCAAGAAATTAGATTGGCTGTCAGTACTTCAGGATTGATTGATTTTCAGATATATCCCATAGTTTGTGGACTTTATAACTTTCCTACTCCTACTGACCAATCACAGCAGGTCACATGACAGTTGTATACAATGGATTGCGTCCTTTCATGCAATCCATTGTTTACAAGTGTGTCTAGCTGTGAATGATCACATGCACAGGCTGGGCCAATCACAGCCCATCTGTGTCATGTGATTAGCCGTGGTCAATCACAGCTAATCACAAGAAAAAGAAAACCTGAATGAATCAATGTCATTCAGCTAAATGTTTGCTTATAGCAAAGAAATTTTTTGCTATAATCAATCAAATTGTGTAAAAAAAAAAACCCCCCAAAAAACACTGATCACTTCCCCAAACTAGTACAGTGTTACTATGGTAACATTATACTACTTTGATCATAGTGCAATATGGAAAACAAATCTTAAAAAAAGAGAACATTTAATAAAAAATAAAAAAAATTATAAAAAAATTAAAAAAGAAATTGAAAAAAATTATAATTTTTTTTTCGTACTGTACCTGTCAGTGTCCCTGATCACCGTCACACCAGTTATATGCTGATGCTGTACTGCACTGGTGACAGTACGTAAAAAAAATGTGAAAACTTTTTTTTAATTTCTTCTTTTTCCGAAAAATTATGACAAAAAAATTATAACTTCAAAAAACTTGCCATGCCTCTTATGAGATTCGTCGGGCTATCTACTTTGCAAAAAGGGGTCATTTGGGGGATATCTGTACTGTTCTGACATTTTTGGGCCTCAAGAAATTAGATTGGCTGTCAGTACTTCAGGATTGATCAATTTTCAGATATATCCCATAGTTTGTGGACTCTATAACTTTCCTACAGACTAAATAATAAATACCGATTTGGTTATTTTCACCAAAGACATGTAGCAGTAGCCTAAATTTATAAAGAACAATTATTTATTTGCAAACTTTTATATTGGAAACAAAGAAAAAATTATTTTATTTTCAAAATGTTTGGTCTTTTTTTGTTAATTTAGCAAAAAATAAAAACCCCAGTGGTGATTAAATACCACCAAAAGAAAGCTCTAGTTGGACAAACAGAGAGGGGGAATCTGATTAGCATAGACGCAGGCAGTAAAGTAAACATTACAAAGGCTCCATCTCTTCCTCATGCTATTCAAAACTAAAATATGAACACTTTACAAAGTAATAAAAGTTTTCTCCCCTACCTTTTGGTGTGCAGTACAGTAATACTGGGATTACAAGGTAGATTTGATTAAATAAGTACAACTATGTGTTATGCTGAGATAAATGAGTTATGTTGCACACATAAACACCTAATTACATTTATGGTGGCTTTCAGGGTTACTTAGTAAAATGTTCAGTAGCATTAATTAAATGGATTCTTAAAATTAAAAATAAAGAAGTTATACATAAAAACTATGCCTAAATATATGCCAGCAATTACATAGCTCTATCACAAATGATTAAGAAATAGCTTAGTTTTATTTGGTCCTCAAGGACTAAATATTTGGATCACAGTTTTAGAGATTTGCATGCTTAATGAGGAAGAGTAATATTAATCTGCTCATTTTAGTCTTTATACAGATGCCAAAGAAATTGCAGTCAGATAAGAAACTAGTGCGATTGCTTTGAACAAACAGTATGTCTAGGCTATTGCCCTCTACAAAATTGCTTTTCTCCTTTAAACTTTGGTATTGTTACTATGCAACTTTATCTTAGTGCATACTACTAAATGACTTAGAAAATTAAATGAGCCAATTTTCTCTAGTGCATTTCATGTAAATTACCCTAATGCAATAAAGTAATTGTTTTGGATATGTGTTATACCAATTAAACTTTGCAAATGATATGCCAAGTGAAACAGGAAGTATTTTCTTCAAGCTTTCAATTAGGACAGACATTAATGAACATCAACTTTTGGTTAACTCTTTCATAAAATGCAGCTTTTTCACTCGGAAATGTTATTAGCCTTACCTGTGAACTGAAAAATTAAAAGCTATGATTATGATTGTAGTCATGACCTTTAATTTCATGAAAATGTGACTTTAAAAGACATGTACAATGCTACAGAGGCAGATAGCTTAGTTATGTACTAACAGACATATATTTAATACATACTGTATATACTGTATATAGTATGTATTTGATTGCAGATGATTTCAGACAACGGTAATTATACTATTATTTTATTTAGAAAAAAAGGCATCAGAAATGTTGGCACTGTTGCATGTTATACTTGTACAAGATTGAGGAACCTAATCCTCCCTATAGATTATACATAAAACAGTGGCATCAGTAGCAGCACCAAAACATCAGTATAAAAATAACATACCGCATGTCCTATAGTTCTCTCCCAGCTGTAATATACAGTGTATTTGGGTGTAGTAGACTTGAATATTGAGAATTGAACATTTCATAGAGAGCATGTGCTTGGGGTCCAAGCTAAGTAAACATGAGCCTCAGTATATAAGCCTTGCTTGCATGCAGTGTAACCACTTTCCCACCGCCCTATAGAAGAACTACTGCTACAGGGCAGCAGGGCTGCGCAATATCATGTGTGTATATATATATCTATATATATATCTATATATATATATATATATATATATATATATGTGTGTGTGTGTGTGTGTGTGTGTGTGTGTGTGTGTGTGTGTGTGATGTTGTGATTTGCATATACGAGTAGGGGGCGCGCACATGCCGTCCTACCCATGCCATCATTGGTGACTAGGGATGTCAATCACCAGGTCCTGGCCAGAGATTCCCCGCTGGCACCTGGCGATCACCGAGTAAAGCTGACTGGGGAGAGACCTGTGTGTAAACAACACAGGTCTTTCTCCTGCCAGCAAGGACAAGTTGCTGTGTATTTCTCGCACAGCAGAGAAATACACAGCTGTATGTTTCCCTAGTAAAACACACACAAACTGTGAAAGTATAGACATCTCCCCAGTTGAGGGCCTGGGTGATATAACAGAAACCACTCAGTGATTTAACCCTTCAATTTCCACTAAAAACTGAAATATCTGATTGAAATGACCTTTTCAAGAAGTAGTTGAGATTCAGAGCACCTAATTTTACTAAGAAATCCAGGCGGAGATTTACTAAAATTGGAGCGTGCAAAATCTGGTGCAGCTCTGCAGAGAAACCAATCAGCTTCCAGGTTTTATTGTCAAAGCTTAATTGAAAAGCCTAACGTTAGAAGCTGATTGGCTATCATGCACAGCTGAACTAGATTTTTCACCCTCTAGTTTTAGAAAGTCTCCCCTATGTCTGTTTCAGTGGAGTGTTTATTATTTTAGCATTTTTTATTGTTGATTGTCTGTTTGAAAGCAACACAATTTGCAGGAGCAGATTAACCGCTTTAGCGCTGCCCCATAGCAGATATACTGCTACCAGGCGGCACCTGTGTGCAAAATCATGTATATATATGTGATTTCGCATTTCTGGGTAGGGGCGCACGTACAATCACCAGGTCCCAGCCAGTGATTACTCCCTGGCACACGGTGATTGCCGAGGATCTCCGACGGGGGGGGGAGAACTGTTAGTAAACAAAACAGTTCTCCTCCCTGTCAGCTCTGCACAATGCTTTGCTTTGTATACAGGGCGGCACCTGTGAGCAAAATCACGTATATATACGTGATTTTGCATTTCAACGTGCGCTCTACCAGCGCCACCATTCATGGTTGCCAATCACCAGGTCCCGGCCGGTGATTACTCGCTGGCACCCGGTGATTGCTGAGGATCTCCGACTGTTAGTAAACAAAACAGTTCTCCTCCCTGTCAGCTCTGCACACTGTTTTCAATGGGTTTTGATACACTTTAATTCAGCTAATGTTGATTGAACTCAATGGATGTACCATTTATTAACCTAATAACTATGTCACTAGGTAACAGCAAGTATGGTAGTTCATAGCTCATTGATTAAGTATTGGAATTAATCTATAGTGAATTAGGAAATTAAATATGAATAGTCTTTTTTTAAGATGAACTATACAGATACTCCACTACAGATCAGCCCTTTTGGCAAATGCCAGAACTCTGCTCTATATTCAGTGCAAATGTTCTCCCCACTATGTTTTGTATATCTTCTTAATTTTTTCTATAGTTTCTAGTACAACTATAAAGGGAGACAAAATAAAATCAGCCATGTGCATATACTGTAGCTTTAAGTATAACTGAAACATTTTATTTTCTCTTGAATTAAATAGATTAAAATCCATGCCAGGTTATTTTTTGTTGTCAATATATCATTGGGGATATTTGCCTTCACATCCTGTCCCAGAAACACAGCAGGAAGTTAGAAGAAATCTTTCAAAGTGAAGGAAATTCTTTTCTTAGACAGCTGTCCCCAGAATATGTATCTTTTTTGGAGAATTTCCCCTCACCTTTTGTTCTGGGGGCAACTCTAAAATGTTTAATTTCCCTCACTGTCCTTCTTGGTGACAATGGTCACAGGGGTTAGTAAGGGGGGTTAATCTCTCCCGTGGCAACACAGACCTCAATAAAAACATGACAGTGGTTCCATCTCTTCCCCACTGTATCCAAACCAAGCAGAAAAATGTTTTTCCTTAAGATACACTTTAAAACATATATGATGTTAAAAAAAACATACTTTTTTGTTTCACTGAAGAGCAATTTTAGATGTATACAAATGTCCGAACCACTCCAATACTGGGCACTTTTACCTCCTTCTTGCCCAGTACAATTTTCAGCTTTCAGCAATGTCACACTTTGAATGAAAATTGTGCAGTCTTGCAACACTGAACCCAAAACTAAATGTTATCATTTTGTTGGTGGTATTTGATCACCACTGTGTTTTTTATGTTTTGCTAAATAAACCAAAAAAGACCAAAACTTAAAAAAAACAACAAAGAAACAAGTTTTTCTTTGTTTTTGTTAAAACATTCTGCAAATAAATAATTGTTCTGCATTAATTTAGACCAAAATGTATACTGCTACATTTCTTTGTTGAAAATATCCAAATCAGTGTATATTATTTAGTCTGTAGGAAAGGTATAGAGGCCACAAACTATTGTATACAGTGGGATTACTGTGCTTGATTGGCCAGCAAACTCGCCTGACCTGAACCCCATAGAGAATCTATGGGGCATTGCCAAGAGAAAGATGGGGGACATGAGACCGAACAATGCAGAAGAGCTGAAGGCCGCTATTGAAGCATCCTGGTCTTCCATAACACCTCAGCAGTGCCACAGGCTGATAGCTTCCATGCCACACCGCATTGAGGCAGTAATTGCTGCAAAAGGGGCCCAAACCAAGTACTGAGTACATATGCATGCTTATACTTTTCAGAGGTCCGATATTGTTCTATGCACAATCCTTGTTTTATTGATTGCATGTAATATTCTAATTTTCTGAGATTGTGGATTTGGTGTTTTCTTGAGCTGTAAGCTATAATCATCACAATTATGACAAATCACGGCTTGAACTATCTTGCTTTGCATGTAATGAGTCTATCTCATATATTAGTTTCACCTTTTAAGTTGCATTACTGAAATAAATGAACTTTTGCACGATATTTTAATTTTTCGAGTTTCACCTGTATATCTGAAAATTGATCAATCCTACTTTAGTGACGGCCTATCTCATTTTTTGAGGCCCAAAAATGTCAGGACGGTACAGATATCCCCCAAATTACCCCTTTTTGGAAAGTAGACAGTGAGAGGTATTTAGTAGGAGGCATTTCAAGTTTTTTGAAGTTGTCATTTTTACTGTCATAATTTTGTGGAATATTAAGAAACTAAAAAAGTAAGTAAATTTTTTTGTTTTACATACTTTCACCAGTGAAGTACAGCATCATCATATTATTGGTGTGGTGGTGATCAGGGACACTGACTGGTGACAGTACAAAAAAAAACTAATTTTTTATTTTTTTTTTAAATGTTTTTGTTAAATTTTTTTCTTTTTTTAATGACTTTTTTTTCTAACATACTGTGACCAGAGTAATATAATGTTACCATAGTAACATTGATCAGTATTTTTTTTTACACATTATGATTGCATATAGCAATGAATATCATTGCTATAAACAAGCATTTTACTGAATGAACTTGATTCATTCAGTTTGTTTTGATGTGATTAGCTGTGATTGGCCACAGCTAATCACATGACACAGATAGACTGTGACCAATCACAGCTAGTAACACAATTGTATACAATGGATGGCATGAAAGGAAGCCATCTATTGTTTACAATTGTCATGTGACCTGCTGTGATTGGTTACAGCAGTCACATGGTACTGGCAACGGTCCAGTACACAGATCAGTCATTGGCTGCGTCCAATGGACACAGCTGGTGACAGATCTCACTGCAGCACATGCAAGGTAGCGATCCAGGAGGCTGTCAATGTTACTATAGGCTGGGCGGGAAAGGGTTAAACTTGCTAACCATATCATATAAGCACAAACATAACTTACGCTTTTAGCAATGATGGCAGAATGAACAATAGTTTTTTTAAACATAGCAGTCTTTAACAACCTAAATAATTCATTCATAATAAACCTTGCAATGCCTTTATGTATAGTCATGCTATAATCACAAAGTATACTCCCCGCCATTAATCTTTCTTCTAGCAATACTCTATCCACCCTTATGGAAAAGATATGGAAAAGATAGTTTCATTTCATTTTCCTATTTCTGTGTACACTAAACATGTGCTTGCCTTTAGGTTTAATGAACTGGCAGCAGGGCTATAAAGCAGGTATCTGTATGTAGTTCTCTTATACAAATGCCAGCATAAAAAGATGAGCTCTGGCCCACCATCTCCTAACGTCCACACCCAACACCCCATTGTTGGTCCCTTAATATGATGCACAGCTTTGCTGATCAATAGTGAGTTGCAAGGGACAGGGTATAGCTAGCATTTGCAAAATAAAGCACCTAGAATTTCAAGGATTTTTAAGTGAACCTACGACTAAGCTATGAAAATGTGAGCTATGAAAATGTGATTATTTACATATTCTTAAGAGGCTGTAAAGGATATTTAACTGTAGCTTAATAGCTTACTGCTACAGGGTGGCACAAGTGTGCAAAATGACGTATATATACCTGCACCGCCATTTGTGGCCACGGCAGTCAATCACAGTGTCCCGGACAGTGATTACTCGCCGACGCCCAGTGATTTCCGACGATCTCCGACAGGGAGGAGAACTGTTTGTTTGCTAACAGTTCTCCTCCCTGTCAGCTGAGGCACACTGTTTTGGATGGCTGTGCACAGCACAGCCATCCAAAACTGTGCTTGCAGTGAAACACACTGAAATGGCCCTCTATGTAAAACACTCCCAGCACACAGTTAACCCTTTGATTGCCCCTCATGTTAACCCTTTCTTGCGCAGTTTCATTAGTACAGTGTCAGTACTTTGTTTTGGCACTGATCACTGTATTGGTGTCACTGGGGATGTCAGTGACACCAAGTCAGTTCCCCCCAGTGTCAGAATGCCTGCTTCTGTCCCACTATAGGTCACTGATCTCTCCATTGCTAGTAAAAATGAAAAACAAAATTCCAGTTTCTATACTGCCATTTGTAATCGCTATAAATTTCACGTAAACCATTTAATTTACACATGTTAGGATTTTTTTTTAGCAAATACATGTAGCAGAATACATTTTGGCCAAAATGTATGATGAAATTAGATTTTTTTTATTTTTATAGTGGATATGTTTAATAGCAAAAAGTCAAAAATATTGTTTTTTTCTCAAAATTGCCTGTTTATTTTTTTTATAGCGCAAAAAATAGAAAATGCACAGGCAATAAAATACCACCAAAAGAAATCTCAATTCGTGGAAAAAAAGGACGTAAAATTCATTTGAGTGCAGCATTGCATGACAGCGCAATTGTCCATTAAAGTAACACAGTGCCTTAATGCAAAAAATGGCCTGGTCAGGAAGGGGGGTAAATCCTCAGGAGGGCAAGTGGTTAACACAGGTTCTCACTGATCTCTGTAGCTAAAGGAAATGTTGAAAAATTCATCCTCAAAGTTCACAGCAGAAGCTCTGAATGTAAATGCAGATCTCAGGGTGGGAGAGATGATCAGGATGAGCTGAACTGCTGACAAAATGACTTGAATCACATCAGAGTTTCTGTTGTGACATTTGAGGAATAATTGTTCTACAGAGTATGCAGCTACAGAGGTCAGTAAGTGTATTTACTGCCTATTGTAATATATAAATACTTAAATGTCCATAGCATAGCCACAGGTTCACTTTAAAGGTACGTTCAGGTGCATGCGGGTGGCTGCGGGTGCCTTGTTTCTTTTTTTTACAGTTCTACTGTTGGTTTACTATGTTAAGGCAAGCACAGGTTTACATTATAATTTTCCTTGAATGACATAAGAACAGACGAAGTAAAGGTTGCTGCTGTCAGTGAAATAAATAGAGTAAGTGACAGGGGGCCCAATATAATTAGACACTCAGGACAATGGTTCTTCATCTTAGATGTGTGAGCATCTAATCATACAGGAATGTTTCATATTGATTTACATATTCTTTTTTTACTGGCTTCTGTCAGAGTAAGAACCAAAATGCCAAGATGATAAATATGTTGTAAAGATGCAGACATGAGAGTACATTAGGATAGGGGGTGGCATTCAAAGTTACGGTTCTCATGAACATTTGGGGTTCAAATTTAAGTGATGAATGGGGCATATTTTTTCTCTCTAATGATCTATTTTTCCCTCTTGTTCATTCAGCTGATAACATTGTTGATACCGCTTTGTTACGTTACTAAAAGCCACAGAATAATTATATTGCTTTGAGAAGATACATTTGTAACTGGGCATAAAAAGTTTCAAGGTTAACTCATTTCCTATTTATATTTCCTCCATATTTCTTCCTCTATTCTGTTTCGTTATCTAGTAGACTTAGGCCCATGTACACGGGACACTTCTGAATGATGGAAACTGACTGCTGGAAAATGTAGGTTAAAAAATGTTAGTTTTGCCACGTTTGCATAATGTGTTTATGCGCGTTTAGCCGCGTTTGCGTTTAGAAGCATTTTTTTAAAGATAAGCACAGGAGACCTCCCAAATGCCCAGAATGCGCTGAAAAGTGGTACAGTTTTAACTATTTCAGACTGTTTTAGATAAATACACGCAGTAGAAGTAGAGGCAGCAGTATGTGTTGAGATTAGCTTAGGTGTGAGTTGCTGATTAGCATTTCTTTTGTTCCAAGGGTGGGATAGGTGTCTGCTGGAGTGAGTCATTAAGGCCACCTGCAGGGGGTCTTCATGAGGAATTTGAGGTGTGAATGGTCATTAACATATCTTTTGTTTCCAAGGGTGGGAGAGTTCTCAGGTGTGAATTGGTCATTACAATGTGTGACAAGCTTGGTGGGAACATGCTGTGTTCAGTGTTTTGTCCATCTGAGCACCTTGAAAACGCTTTCCATGCATTTTTCATGATGAAAAAAGGCTCTGGACAGCATCGGGAACTGGAAGAGTTAAAAAAAAAATTCAAACGCAAACCCTTATAAACGCTATTTGCCGTGTTTAGCCACATTTACAAGCGTTTTTTCGTTTGAAACGCTGATAAAAGCGACTGCTGAATGTAAGTTTTCCGTGTTCAAAAAAACGACTGTAAACTCAAATGCCTGTAAACGACTGTAAATTAAGATGTGTACATGGACACATAGTAAAACATTAGGGTGATTTCAGGGGCTGCTGAAAAAAAAATGCTGAACAGCTCCTAAATGTGAGTTTATCAGCTGCAGTGTACATGAGCCCTTAAAGTTATGTCAAGAAAAATTTAAAGATAAAATATCTAGTACATACAGTAAGTACAAAACATGCACATTTTCCTGTGTTTTACACCTTTAAAGACCCTGCAAGTACAGAACAATACATGTTGATCTGCCAGAAATGCACTCAGCTCCTAAAGTCTTATCTATGGTCTTGCACAGTTGTTCAAGCTCCTTACATGTAAGGAAATAGCTTATTCTAATTTCTCAGAACACTGTGAGCTTCCCACAGTGTGCAATAAAGGTTGTAACACATTAGATAGAGTCTGCCTCATCTCCTGGCTGGAGGGCATCCAGAATCATCTAACCCAGGGGTGTCCAAACTATGGCCCTCCAGCTGTTGAAGTACTACAAATCCCATCATGTCTCTGGGAGTCTTGCCTGTGGATGTCAGAGTCATGCAAGGCCTCATGGGTCTTGCAGTTCCTCAACACCTGGAGGGCCATAGTTTGGATACCCCTGATCTAACCATTTTCTGCCTGTTCATTCCTTAGATTTAATATCTTTCACTTATGGTAGTACATGACCACATGTGTGCATTAACTATGGCAGTCTACATTTAAATGCAGCCTGTTTAGGAATTCCCATTTCTCCAAAATGGCATCCACTCATCAATGAATTTTGATATTTGCATAACTCCTTCCAATTGCCAGCCCACTACTTGCATCAGGAAAGAACAAACAGAGGGCGCACAGGCCTAGTGCATTACATAAAAAATGTTTGATAAGAAATAAAATAGGCGTTGTACTCACAAACGACAATAAAGTCAAGGCACATAATAAAAGAACAGCTGGGTCAACACCGCGCTGAGTAACAGTCCGCAATAGGGAGTGTAGACATCCAATAGGCTGACGCGTTTCGAGGATTTGCCTCTTCCTCAGAGCTCTGGCTGTTTGTTCTTTCCTCATTCAGTATATTTGGATTTCCCCGGTCTATTGAGGGCAGCAAGGTGTGCATGTTCCAGGACATTCTTAATGTGGTGTAGCCTGCATCGAGTCCATCCCCAAGCGCAGGAGCATTTGTGTTTGTTTCCACTACTTGCATCAGGGCTGAGGGCTCCCGAGAGAAATACTAAGACAGGGCGCAGTGATGTTTCCAGGAAGCTATGAACAGTACCCTGCTGCTCCCTCCCATCAGGCGCAATCTGCTTACATTTCCTAGAGAATCCAAGATACCCAGTGATGACAATAGGGCAAATCATGAAAACAGGTTTTTATTAAACAACAGGACCTGTGAGATATAGTTGGTACTTAAATAATTGCATAAAAGCTCATAAAGTAATTTTACAATCTTTTTTTGCCTATAATTATAAATTATATTAAGCAGCGTTGTTTAAGTTTGCCATATGACATTGATATTTAGAGAAAAAGTTTAGCTCCTGTCTCTTAAAATATTTCCCCTTAGTCTCTGCCTTTTACTAGCAGAACTCTTTTACTGCAATGTAAATGAGGCCAGGTGGCAGGATGTCAACCCTGGAAATAATTATCCACTTGAGTTGTATGCTGGGTATGATTCAACCAGTGAAATGTAACGTCCTTGTATTAGACTTATGCTGTGACAGGAAACACGGTAGACATGAATCTTTACCGGTGGTTGAACAAACCAAGGAACAAGTTATCAAATACCATGGCATTCGAGAAAAGTTTCAAAGCACCACAAGTACCAACTGTCAAAATGTGATCTCCTTCCAGCATAATTAGCTGAGCGCTTAAGCTTGGACCTTGACAGTTCTTTAAAAAGAAACACATATGTGATAAAAAGGTGAATGACACTTTACCAAGTAACCTCGCATATTAAGTTCTTATTGTTCTGTTTACACAAAAAAGATCTATTTTTACAATATCTCATTAGTGTAGATGAAGCTGATGAAATTTAGCGATGAAAAAAACCCCACAGTGCTTTAATTATATATAATTGTATTGCTCCAAAGAATGAAAACTATTAAACCCAGCCAACTTTCTTTGATCTGCTGCTAGCATAATCAAACATACTGAAATCCATAGTTTCCTGTTTTGGCAATATATATCCTTGTGCTTTTTTTTTTCCATCTTAAATTATGTCTGAGCTGGCCATAGGCTCATAGCTCTTAAGGTCGACTTTGTTTTATATAATTTTCCTTCGAGGAGATTAAATGTATTTAACAAAAATGTCACTGGTTGTCAACATAATGGATGTTAAAGATTTTTCTTTCTGTTTTATTTTAATGAAATGCCATATGAACAGAATATGAAATTTGATGGATCGTGGTAACAGCGCAATAAAGAGGATACGATTTTCAGTGAAAAGAAATAAAATGTTACCATCCAGGATGCTGTCTGACCTCTGGCTGAGTTGTTTAATGGCACTTACAAAAAGCAAAGTTTTATGCAGTAGAATATGATTCTCAGCTGGAGCTCCATATCAGAGATGCCCCTGTGATAACATGTGTCACACACTGACATACAGCTATCCTAACAATTCTTATTTAATAAACCTGCCTGGAAGATATCAACTAATTGCTACATTTCTATAATGCTGGATGCGTATAGTATGGTACTATCTTAAAACTAAGTTGTTATTATGGCTAGTAGTGTTAACTATTTTTACTATGTATTCCTTATTAACTATTAAAGCTTATTAAAAGGAACCTGACCTGGCATTAGCAATAGTACTAAAATGCAGTTGCATGTGGTGTCCATGCCTACCTTTATTTGAGTTCCTGTATGGATCAGTCCCTGTGTACCTTTGCAGACCCCCTGAATCCCATGCCTAAAATGTCCATGCAGCGTCAATTTCTATCCCTGTAAAGATGAAAGGATAAGTTCACCTTTGGTAACAAGCTGCATATGCCACCCATTCCACCCGAGCCCTCTGTGTGACAGCAGTACAGGGAGAAGTTGCCTGTACCATCTGTCACTTTTTGAAAAGCACACAGCTGTGTGGGGCTCCGCCCTCACCACCACATCATTCATTCAAAGAGTTCTGAGAATGAATCAAATACAAGTACTGACATCTTTTGCTGATGTCAGCTTGTAGTTCGCCATGAACTACAATGGTGCTGTTGAGCGCTCTGGTAGTTTATTGATTCTTCCTGTCAGTGTGAGACTGCCTGCTCGTACAATGTATGGGCAGACAGCTTACACTGACAGTATGCAGGAGTCCTGCATGACACCAGTGATCTGCTGATCGTTGGTGTATTGCTTTCCAGGCTTCCAGAAATAATAGTAAATGCACATTTTTTTACCTCCAAAAAAATGTGCATTATTTTTGTTAAAATGTGAACTTATCCTTTAAGCATCATCCTTATCATTCAACTATCAATTAGTAGAAACTCCACTACCCACAAGTTCAGGCAAGTGAAAATTCAATGGTAGGTAGTGGGAATAGTTGGGTGAGGGTTAGGCTGTATCATGGCTTTGATAGCTGTTGAGACACCCTGTACAGCCTGCGTGTTATAATTCATATACCCCTTTATGCCTTTGAGCATACCTCCTGAGATCCAGTCTGTGTTGACAGTATAGCAACTTGCTGAGATGGTACATTTTGCAGGCAGCATAAACTCACCAAGACAACCCAGAATGAAATCCAGTCTGTTTTATTGTAGACTTCAGTTGACAAAGATGTTTTCTAAGTGAAAGAGCACCTCAGAGCAATAATCGTTGTAACTGTATAGGAGAGTACTGAACATCATGAGAGTTAAAGTGAAAGTAATAAAGAGCATAATAAATAAGGGCATGTCTAAAAGGGGACTAGACTAACTAGAGCATAAAAGAAGGGGGAACAGTTGAACACACCAATTGCAATAAACAAGACAATGACAGGCTGCTATGGCGGCACACGGGGTCTGGGCTCTAAAGAGGTTGATCTGTACACTAACACAAGTATTTAAAGCCACAATAACCTGCTTTTCAGCATTATTGTTACATTGGAAATGTTTAGTGTCATGCCAGGCTTAATTAGGATCTACTGCCATCAGGCTATTTAATTCCACAACACAGGTTTTAAGAATAAAACAACACCCCAAAGTTTTAATTTCAGGACATTTCCAATTATCATTTTATTCATCATGATAATAGTTATTAACTTTAAAAATTCTCCTTGAGGTTTAACAATGGTGACAGTGGTTAGATTCCAGTGTTGTGTTTAGGGGTTAGGTTTAAAGTGAAGATTTAAGAATAAAGATTACTCTAGTATAAGAGTAGTACAGTAAGAGGGCATTCACCCCAGTGCTCCATAATAAATCGTACATTACTGCAAACCACATGTTTTGGTGTACTGTGATGTTGTTCATTCTGAATGGAACCACAGGGCACTGTTGCACCATGAGTTGCAGTGACCTGCGCTGACAAAAAGCAGGTATGCAGGGATTTGGTCCATTGTGGGGATTCAGTTAAATGGGCTGCCTTAATGCAACACATTTTAACAGACCAGGCTTATGAGAATGAGCCCGAATGTCTGTTGCAAGTGTGAACATTCATAATCAATCAGGTGAAATGTTTTTTTACTTAATATTTCTGTGTTTTAAAAGTGATATTGCACAGAGATGCCCAGGTCCTCCTCTTCTTAGGTCCCCCGTTGGTGCTCCTAGCCCCTCCCTCCTGCCTAGTGTCCTCATAGCAAGCAGCTTGCTATGGGGCACCTGAACAGGCTCGATACCAAGCTGCTGTTATGTCTGTCCATTCAGATACAGAGCGTGGCTTGGCCCCGCCCCCATTCTCCTGCTCATTGACTCATTGACTGTGATTGACAATAGTGAAAGCCAATTGCTCTTGCTGCTGTCTCAGCCAGTGAAGAAGGAGAGACCCTGGAGAGCCACTGCTCTTGTGCACATTGCAATATTGGGATTGGGCTCAGGTAAGTATTGGGGGGCTGCTTCACACAGATTGTTTTTTTTACCTTCAAGCATAGAATGCATGAAGGTAAAAAAACTTAAGCCTTTAGCCTTTAATCACTTTAGCTTGTGGTACCTAAACTTCTTCTAAAGCAAGCAAGCACATTTTTTCAGAAGTCTAATGTACTGTGGAGAGGAGTCAGCATATGTAACAGACATTATCAGGTCAGGCTCTGCACACCATACATTCATGCATAATTAACACTGTATTACCACATATTGCAATACACGATAAACTAACCAACCATGCCAAACTGGTCTCCTTTTGGCTAGTTCTGCACTAGTTATAAAATGGAAAAGATTCCATTGTATAAATTATGTTACATTTATATGCTGATTACTTGCAGATGTAAAATGAAAAGGATTATACACATAATATTGCAGCATACTTATAGCATGCATATAGAGCAGGACGTGTAAGAGCAGAAAGTCAATTTGCTTTCGAATACAGTTCTTCATCCTCTGGTAGCATGTAATGTTCCATTGGCATTGCGTGGCATTGGGAAACTCTGATGGTATACTTTCTGCATCAAAACATATTCAATGTTTAACAGGAATTACCACAAAGTCACGCTCTAAAATAGGGGTCAGCAACCTTTTTCATGTCAATCCCATTTTTAACCCATCGCCTACCGGGCACTTATACCCCCTTCCTGCCCAGGCCAATTTCCAGCTTTCAGCGCTGTCGCACTTTGAATGACAATTGCGCAGTCATGCAACACTGTACGCATATGAAATTTTTATAATTTTTTTGTTAGAGATAGAACTTTATTTTGGTGGTATTTAATCTACCTCTGGGTTTTTTATTTTTTCTTAAACGTTTTTTTCTTAGTTTTTGTTATAAAATTTTGTAAATAAGTGATTTTTTCTCCTTCACTGATGTGTGCTAATGAGGCAGCAGTGATGGGCACTGATAGGCTGCACTAATGGACACTGATAGATGGCACTGATGGGCACTGATGAGGAGGCACTGTTAGGTGGCACTGATGGGCATTGACAGGCATCACTGATGGGCACTGAAAAGCAGCACTGATACATGGCACTGATAGGCAGCACTGACAGGCACTGATAGGAGGCACTGACAGGCACTGATAGGCGGCACTGACAGGCACTGATAGGCGGCACTGACAGGCACTGATAGGCGGCACTGACTGGCACTGATAGGCGGCACTGACTGGCACTGATAGGTGGCACTGATTGGCAGCACTGATAGGTGGCACTGACTGGCACTGATGGGTGACACTGAAAGGCAGCTCAGATGGGCACTGATATGTGGCATTGATGTGCACTGGTAGGCACTGATATGTGGCATTGATGTGGCACTGATGGGCACTGGCACGGGGCACTGATGTGTAATGACACAAGGCACTGATAAACACTGACAGGTGGCACTGCTGGGGCTACACTGATCATCAGGGCACACTGATCATCAGTGCACATGTCCCCTCCACGGAAAGCTGTTTACTGGCTCTCCTCTTCTCTCGAGCTGTCAGCGTGACAGCTCGAGAGGAGAGAAATGCCGATAACCGGCATTTCCCTGTTTACATGTGATCAGCTGTGATTGGACACAGCTGATCACATGACCGAGCCGACATCTTTGGCTCTTTCTGTGATCGGTGATCCTCTGTGTCCGAGGGACACAGCGCACCACTGATCGCCGGACTGCGCGCTCCCTGAGCCGCGCATGCGCGCAGTGAGAATGGGAGGACGTCATATGACGTCCTCCCAGAACGAGAGAACCACCTTGCGTCCGTCATTGTATTATATGGTGGGCGAGTGGTGGTTAAAAGCATCGGACAACCGGTGAGCCAGTAAACAATAGAGGGCTCTTATCTCAGCTAGTTTTAAAATTGTGCTTTCATTCGAGTTGATTTACTAAAGGCACATAGGCTGTTCACTTTGCAAACAAAGTGGACTATTGCTAGCCAATTAGGCCTAAAAGTTAGTCAATGTGGTGAAGTTCCACAATCACATCCAAATTAAAATAAAAAACAGCATTTTTACTTGCACACGATGAATGTCAAAAGCAAGCAGAGCTTGACATCATTCATCAAGCCCTGGGGAAAATTCCCTTGCAAAATGAACAGTCTATTTGCCTTTGGTAAATAAACCCCTTTGCTAACATCACGTTAAACTCGTAATTTATTATAAACAACCCTACAACATCACATAAAAATCTCAGATTGGCCCTATTTCTGAAGTTTCAGGCCTCAGATTAGCTTAAATACATGTACCTTCTTATCACAGATCAATCCCAGTTTCTGCACCTTTAGACCTCAGATCAGCCAAAAGCATGTCCTTCTGATCGATCCTGATTTCTGCACAGATCAGCCCCAATTCTTCACCTTTAGACCTCAAATCAGCCCTATGCATGGCCTTCAGACCTCAGATCAAATCGAGAGAACACATGCACTTAAGACCTCAGAGAAGCTCCAAAGTATGCCTGTACTTAAAATCTCAGATCAGCACCAAGGCACACATGCCCTTCAGATCTCAGATCAACCCAATATACTGTACATGTGCACTTGAATACATATTCATTTCATACCCACATTCACAGGTTTACCTTACATGTGTGGTGCAGTTTATGTTTACTTACACTTGTGCAGACTATGATTGTGTTTGTTTTCAAGTGTGTACGGGGTCGATTTGAATTTTTAATAAATTTTTATGTATTTTATTATAATTTTTGAACACTTTTTAAACATTTTTTTAATTCACCTTTACTCTTCTCACAAGGAGGCTACCAAGCAACCAATATCGTAAAGGTTCACTCCCATGAATACCAGAATGTAATAAACATACTTTGGTAGACAAGCAGTTAAAATACATAAACAGTGTAAAATAATAATCCTTTTGTCTCATTACCTTTTTATACATGAGAGTAATGCTGTTTGTAGGTATGCATGAGTGAAGGCTGGTGGACAGGTTTCCTCAGTGCAGCATGGACATATCCTCAGTCAAAAGCTGCTTGACTGAAGTCAGGAGACAGTTGGGACAGGCTTTTTGATTAACAGCCTAGGGAGCTGTCAGTTACAGCTATTGCCTTTATGTGCCCTCAGTGGTTTCTGACCAATGCTCTAAACAAACAACTACAATCATTAAAGTGGAAACCCTATCATTAAATTTCTGTTATTTTCTCCTTTTAGGTCTGTTAAAAATACTAGAAATGTTGTAAGCTTATAACTTCCTTTGGTTTCTGCCTCTGCTTTTATAAGTTATTGCTGTTCTTGGTTCATTCAGTTGACTACAGAACACCTCCCTGGTCTATTATGGAGAAGTATAAACAGAGGGAGGCATTTTTCATAATTCTGGTTCTTGAGAATTCTCATCCTAGGTCTGTTAAGCTGCAATATACCGTATGTATTACAGATTTGTTCTTGTAATAAATATACATTTTAAGATTGTACACAATCTGTAATTGTGCCATTTGGTGTTGGCTAAAGTATGTTACATGTTTTATGTAGGGTTGTATTATATTGAACTTTAAACATGTTTTACATTCTCTGCTGCCATAAACATTTAGTTAGGGCCAACAACTAAAAAATTAGGGAAATAATTTTTAAGTAAATATCTTTATCTTTTACTTAACCATACTTTGGCTAAGAACCCATACCTGCATATGTATTATATTAAATGAAATATAAAAATGAAATGTAATACTGTGAGATAACTAAAGTGTTTTATATGTTGATTATGTTATAAAAAACATGCACTATTGTGGTCCATGTTCCAAAGTATTACAGACTTTTAATTATTCTTCTTCTGAAGATCCCATTTCCCATTCAGTCCAACTCTTCCCTTCTCACTGGTTGTTTAACACACTGCTTAAAGATACCCAGCTTTGTAAAAATTATCCATAAATGTCCTTGTTCTGTTTTATTTGTGCTGGCTCTTGAAGTATGCATTTGTACCCAGAGGAAAATGTTCTTTTTCTGCATACTGTCTTGGTGGAACTGTACAAAACTGTGATGCTCTGTCTATACTAGCATTTTGTGGATAACTGTTCTCAATTGTGCCTACAGTTCTAGCATAGAACTGCACAGAGCACTTTAAATGTTTATGCACGTATTATAGTATACAAAATATACAAGTATTTTATATACATACAAAATATGTAAAAAATATATATATTCACATCTCCTGAACAGAAAGGAAGTAATATACTTTAATGCATAAAATCCACTCCATCATTTTCCGATCCTTCCTGGTTGAAAGATGGACAATATTAAACAAGAATCTAATATTTTAAAATTAATTTTATTTAAATGTTTTCCCTATTTTTCAACTTTTAACGGAAAAAACAGTGCACCAAATCAAAAGCCTTATATTTCCTTAAAAAATGTAAAAAAAGAAAAAAAACGGATAGGCAAATTAGTCATACAGAGTTAATGTCAAGTTAACCAGTGAATATTGATGTTAATTTGGCCTAGACATCTACATTTACAAGGACTGCTGGGCACAAAAGGTTTAAGGAATTGTAGAAATTAAAGGATAAGTTCGCCTTTCAAGAAAATCAATAATAAATGCACATATTTTTGAAGTGAAAGAAAAAATGTGCATTTCTTTTTTTTTTTCTGCAGGAGCCTGGAAAGCATTGCACTTGTGATCAGTGGATCAGGGGTGCAATGGTCAGGCTTATGCCGATAAGCCCTGCAGCTTTCTGCGTATACCTTTGTACGGGCTGTCAGTTGAAAGCTGCAGGGCTTGTGAATGAACTACAAGAGGGACCATGTAGTTCATTCAGAACTACATGCCATCAGGAAACTGTGAATGAATGACACAGCCACGTGGGCAGAGCACTGCATGGCTGTGCTGTTTTTGAATCGTGACAGTGGGTGCAGGGAGAAAATCCTCCGCCTGCTGTCACACCGAGGAGGGGGTGAGGGGGAACTGGTGACAGGAGCTGGAACATGTTACATGTTCCAACCTGTACAGTGGGTATGGAAAAGAATCACCCCCTATAAATTAATTACATTTTGTTGCTTTGCAGCCTGAAATGAAAACAGACATGGTTTTTGTTTAATCCAACTGTATTTACTCAGTGCAACTTATAACATCCAAGTGAAATATATAACAGCAACATTTCAGAAAAAAAATAATGGAGGTCATTAATATAGAATACCCACTAGCGCTGTACTGAAAATACAGAGGTGCAGGATAGCATCATAACATCAGCAAAATAAAGATGGGAAGTAGAATTTGACTTGGTAAGTAAAACAATTAGACATGTACTAATCAAATAGATCAGCATACAGAATAATTGACCGTTAATTAAAAAAAAGGTATAGAGGAAGCAAAAAAGGATATACTAGGAAAAGACAATGTAGGAAGAAGGGGTGGAATAAAGGAATAAGCAAAATAGAGGGAGGATTGTTATTGAAAAAAAAAAAGCTGAAAAATGAGGACAAAGCAAGGAGACTAAGGAAGATACATAAAATTATGTGAGATAGCATTTACAAAAATGCTCTTTATAGGGGCCATAGAAAGAATGTGGCTACAGGCAAAACATTTATTTAACTTACCTTTTAATAGCCAGTGCTAAGACCTACAACATTTTAAAATATCTGCCAATATCATTGTCCTTGTTTCTTTGAGAATTTGAGATCGTCTATTAAGTGGCTCATAACAAGAATAATAATATGGAGTGAGACAGGAGAGACCAATATCCTGGTAACATTATGCTGTACCATAGTGTATGTACTATTCACAATAGATGGAATGCAATAATATGTAAAGTGTACGATAAAAAATGAAGTAGCCACAATAATAGTCGAAATGTCATTTTCCCATATCACATTAGTGCATACTGTGTCTGCGCTAAATTCTTTGTAAATACATTCTGCTACATTTCACCAGGAATTTTTGAAATATGTTTTGAAAAGCAGAAAATAAGTTTCTTACAGGGACAAGACTTTATTAAAAGAAATATCCAGAAAGATGCTGATTCTGGTTTCAACTGCTTTAACAGCTCTGTTTATTGACATCTGTGAAAGAGCATCTGGAAAGTTGTTGACATTTGCTTTCACTTAAATGCCGCATTTCCAAAATGCCCCTAATTATTCAGGTTTTGCTAAGATAAAATTTTATAAGATATCCTTAGTAAGCTGTAGTTCACGACACCATTATTCAAAATGTAGGGGTTTGAATTTGCCTGATTTGCCTTCCTATGATGCTTGAATGATCTGCAAATATTTCCCATAGTGGGATTTTTTGTTGGTTAATATTTTTGCTTATGTCAAAGCAGACATACTGTATATGTGTATATAGGTATATTGGTTCTATTCAACCAATATACCATCACATCACATCTCTATATCTTTATAACTAGTCCTTAATGGCCAACTCATCTCTTGCCAGTGAGGGTGGACCGCTCTGTTAGTTCACTTCTTTGCCAGCAAACGTTAATACACTGTATACTGTATATAGAATATTGATTTACTAGGAAAGTATTTTTGAGTGGGATTCCAAATTCTTTGTCACTGTTCTTATAAGACATTTCTTTTTAGGATCCCCATCAGCAAATGAAAATAGTGAACTGCCATTTGCAAATATCTGTACTTAGCACACTCTTTTGCAAGCTACAATCATACATTTCCTGTGTTCACTGCAACTGTACAAACATATGTGATATTTGTTTCAGCAACTTT